AAAAAATTGATAGTTATAGTGAGTATAATTAAAAATTTTGATTTAAAAACTTTTTATATAAATTTTAAATGATTTCTAGATTTTTTTAAAAAAATTTTATATTAACTTTTCACTAAATTTTAAATTTTAAATTTTAATTAACCGATAATTTAATTTGAATGTAACCAAAATCGAACTAGACTCACCCCAATAGGTCGGTCCCATAATAAAACTGTTTATTATTTTCACCCCTATCTATATCATACTATTTTAATCATTTTTTAATTTTCATCTATTTTTTATTAACAATATCTTTGGAGCCCTTTTTATTTTTTTTTTTTCATTAGTGTTCTTCTAGCTACTTAATATATGTATATTTTATTCTTTAATTAATGACATTTAATACTATGTTATCAAATTATTATTAATTAATTATTAAAAATTTACAAATTTTATTTAAAATAATTTTTTTCTTTTAATTTTTATTTCTTACCTACTTTCAATTAATGCATCAACATATAATTCCTTGGTCAAATTTTCGTTTTGCCTCCTTAAAGAAAATTTCTAGCTCTCTCCATGCCACTACCTACAAGTGTTCCACTGCTCCTCGCATCATTGATTTTTTTTTTCTTTTAAACAAGGATAATTTTTTATAAATATTTTTATTATACAATAAAGATGGGGGAAAATTGATTCCTAAAAAATTTAACATCAAATCTAAAGTTGCCGGTTGCCCGGGGCGTGCGGAACTTGCATCATTGAATTTCTAATGACATGAATGATAGCTTTGCGGTCCCTTTAACACCTTTCCAAATCGAATGACACCTATCATTCTAATCCATAGACATAGTGGCAGGTAATTCTTTAATGGGATTTTCTAAACCCTTCTTTAAGCACAAGTTAAATTTTATTTATTATAATATTTATAATTAATTTTATATAAATTTTTATATAAAATTTAAATAAAATATAAAAATTTATATAAAATTAATTAAAAATATTTTAATTAATAATTTTAACTAATATTCTTAAAATATAAATTAAACAAATCCTCCTTTAATTTGTAGCACGTAAAGCATGATCGCCTTTTACTTTATCATTGAATTTTTAATGAACATAAATGACAGCTTAATTTGCGGTGCCTTTATAAAGGTTTCTGCATAGCTATCATCATGTCGATTAGGGTTCATCAAAACCGACAAAATATAATAGTAAAATATTATTAAACAAACCCTCCTTTAATTTGTAGTACCTAAAGCATGATCGCCTTTTACTTTATCATTGAATTTTTAATTAACATAAATGACAGCTAAATTTGCGGTGCCTTTATAAAGGTTTCTGCATAGCTATCATCATGTCGATTAGGGTTCATCAAAACCGACAAAATATAATAGTAAAATATTATCACAAACCGTGTAACACGCTAGAGTTGTGGAAAAATAATTAATTGTAGTAGCATTTATAAAAGTTATGTCATTGAATTATGCTCCGACATTGCAGTGTCAGTCCACTTTCTTTTGAAGTTAAATATATATTTTTTTTAAAAATTATGAC